ATTTGGTAAGTTTATGTTTAACTTTTTAAGAAACTGCCAAAGTGTTTTCCAAAGTGGTTATACCATTTTACGTGTTTCTCCACGTTCTTGTCAACACTTGATATTTTTTGTCTTTTTGATTATAGCCATCTTAGTGGATGTGAAGTGGTATCTCATTAGGGTTTTGATATGCATTTCCCTAATGACGGATGATGTTGAGCATCTTTTCGTGTGCTTGTTGCCACTCATATCTTCTTTGGAGAAATGTCTATTTGTGTCTTTTGCCCGTTTTTAAATTGGGTTGTCACTAGGGGGGTGCAAGGGGTGTGGACTGCACCAGCTGACACTGTCAGAAGGGGTGGCACCAAAATGACTGTCTATAAATTTTTTGTGCAGTGTTTCAGCAGAAATTTATTATCCCTATAGTTAGTTATAATAACAAAAAACATTTTTCATAATACCAGCTCACGTGTATCACTAAACCTACAAAGCTAAAACTCCATGCTCGTTTACTTTTTGAACCTTCTAATGCTCTCCAGTAAGAGCTGTTTTTATTACCTAATTACAGTGATGCTTCGAATCACGTGGTTTCATCTGCATATGCTACAAGCATGTGCTGTTGTTTTCATTGCTCCTGGTGTTTTTATTCACTGATTTTGTCAAATTTTCTGGTGTTTTAGCTACAATATTGTGATAGTTAGTATTTGTCAACCTATATCAATAACTTTTTTGAGAATGAAGTAGTTAAAGGAAAAGATGGAGTGATGTATGGGAATTATGATTTATAAGTAACATTAGTACAAAAAACATTACTAAAGATTCTGTATGGTCTGGTATGGGAGGAGGTCCATGGAGGGGGTGGTGACACCATGAGTTACTGCACTAGGTGACACCAACCCTAGTGATACCACTGTGTTGTCTTCTTAATGAGTTGTAAGAGTTCTTTTTATTTTCTGGGTGTGTATGATTTGCAGATATTTTCTCCCAGTCTGTGGCTTTTCATTTTCTTTGAAGAGTGTCTTTTGAAGTGCAAAACTTTTTACTTTTGATGAAGTCCAGCTTAAAATGTTTTTCTTTTATGTGTTTGTGCTTTTGGTATCATATCTAAGAATTCTTTGCCTAACCAGAGTCACAAAGATCTTCTCCTATGCTTTCTTCTAAGAGTTTTATACTTTTAGTTCTTGTATTTAGGTTTATAACGCATTTTAAGTCAAGTTTTGTTTATGGTATGGTGTCTAAATTCATCTTGTTGCACGTAGACATCCAATTGTCCCAGTATCATTTGTTAAAAAGACTTACCTTTCCCCTTGTGGAAAAACGGCACGGGGTCAGTGTCTGACCTCCTTCAACCCCACGAGGGGGAAGGAGAACCAAGATCAACAGTGCAAGGCTGATTCCCATGAGGCAGAGCCAGACAAGCCTGCTCTCTCTGCCATCTTTACTAATTCTGACATCAACCATCCCTCACACAACACTCTGCTACTCTACTGGGTTTGATAATTCATTGCAGTGGCCACACAGAACTCAAAGACCATACTCACAATTATGGGGTTTATTAGGGAAGTAACAGTTACAATTCAGGCTCAGGAACACTCAAGATACAGTTCTTCCATCAGGATAGCCTCTCCCAGCTGTGCTCGCAGGCACGCCTCTCCCTGGCCCTCAGTCTCTGCCCAAAGGCGCTCAGCTTTCTCTTTCTGTGGGCCAAGAAGCCCACCATGCCATCTCCTGGTGCCTGGTCTTTGCTGCTGGGTTCCTCCTTTCTTGGTGGTGGGCTCCTCTTCTCTGCTCTGGAATTGGCTGTCTTTTAAGGCAAAACTGACAAATCCCCTTGGTAGGCCACAGTTACCCTATCACACAATCACCTGGATGGAAGTTACAAGACCATGGCTAGAAAGGCCACACACAAAAGTAATTAATTGCACTGACCTTGGCATCTTTGTTAAAAGTCAGTTGACCATAAATGTAAAGATTTATTTCTGTTCTACTGATCTATGTATCTAGCCTGATGCCAGTATCACACTGTCTTGATTACTATAGCTTTATAGTCAGTTTTGAAACCTGGAAATGTAAGCCTTCCATCTTTGTTCATCTTTTTCAATAATTTTTGGCTATTATGGATCTCATGTAAATTTGAGATCAGCTTGTAGATTTCTTCAAAAAAGTTTACTGGGATTTTGATAGGATTGCATGGAATCTGCAGGTTAGTTTGGGGAGAATTGCCATCTCAACAATGTTGAGTCCTCCAATCCATGTATGTGGAATATTTCTCCGCTTATTTAGATCCTTAGTTTCTCCCAAAAATGTTTTGTAGTTTTCAGTGTACAAGCCTTGCACTTCTATTGTTAAATTTATTACTAAGTACTTTATTCTTTTTTATGCTATTGTGGATGGAATTGTTTTCTTAATTACATTTTCAGATTGCTCAATGCTAGAATATAGAAATACGATTGATTTTTGTATATTGATCTTATATCCTATTAGCTTGCTAAACTTGTTTATTAAGTTTAGTACTTTTTTATGGATTCCTTAGTATTTTCTACAAACAGGATCATAGTGTCTGCAAATAAGAACAGCTTTACTTTTTCCTTTCCAATCTACATTCTTTTGTTTCAGAGACATTTTATGCATTAAAAAAAAACAAATACTTATGTTTTCCAACCATTTTTGTAAAAATGGTAGCGTATTTTGCTTTTTGGACTTAACAATCTCTCTTGAAAGTCATTCCGTTTCAACACCCAAAGTGCCTTCTCCCTCTCTTTTTATGGCTGAAGAGAAGCTGTAATGAGGCTTTTTTTTTTTTTTCTACATTGCTGTTCAGTTACATCTTCCCCATTGCCGTTTTTGTGCTTATACACTTTATGTTTATTTAACATCATAATAGTTTCATAGTTTTATATTAAGGTTTTACAGTTTGCACTCTAAATCATTTGTTCTTCCTAACACTTCTATAATTTTAGAAATGCAGATATTGTTTCCTTTTCTAGATGGGGAAAATTGCACAGAAGGTTGTGGCTTGCTCCAGTAGAGACAGCTACAAAGGGAATCGAACCCGGGTCTTAATATGAGTCTGGACTCCAGACCCAGAACTTTTTCTCCTGCGTCAGAGTTGCTGCGCTTCCTCCCGCCTAATGCCCAGAGCTTTACAATTATCCCATCTAACCATCCTCTTGTTTGATTTGGCCTATTATTCCTGTTATTATTTGGGATCCTGACAGCCATTTAGGCCCTCCCTAGATGTGCATTGTATGTAAATTATCCTGCCTTGCATATCTCCAAGACATTGATATAAAATGTTGAGCAGGACTAGCCAGATGCAAACCCAGTGCCTGGCACACAGTAGGTGCTTCGTAAGTATTTGTTGGTGAATGCAAGATGTACCACTCAGTAGAGGCCCCTCTCTGTGTTGACAATAATATTTGGGTAAGTAAGGTTGGTTCAACCAGTTATAGTTCTACCAACTTATTATTCAACCCGTATAACTCCATCTCACCCTCAAAGATGCCATGAGAAGCTTTGTCATTTTGTTCAAATTTAGATGTACTCTACTTCACATTCTTTTGATCTGCCAGTCGAGGAAAAACAAGGCTAACCTGGCAGGGCCTGTCCTCCCTTAGTAAGCCCTGGCTAGAATTTGCTGGTTTTCTCTTTGACCTCCAAATGCTTGCAAATTAACAGATCGGTGATCCATTCTGGAATTGTACAGGCCGTCAATATGAAACCCACCAGTTTGCAGTATTTACCTTACCTACCTTTCAGAAAATCAGAACATTTCCTGTCTCCAGATATCTAACATAGCTTCTTTTCCCCAAGATTCTGTTACACTTTTCTTGAGGATCCTGGAATATAGCTTACCTATTTTAAGAGGAAGTGGGCAGTGATGATTCAGTGGTAGAATTCTTGCCTTCCATGCTGGAGGCCCGAGTTCAGTTCCTGGCCAGCGCGCCTCATGCGCAGCCACCTCCTGTCTTTTCAGTGGAATCTTGCGTGTTGCTATGATGCTATACAGGTTTCAGACTAAGGCTAAGAAGAAAGGCCTGATGATCTGCTTCCAAAAATCAGCCAATGAAAACCCCTTGGATCACAACGGTTGGATCTACAACTGATCATGGGGATGGTACACGACTGGGCAGCGTTTTGTTCCATTGTATGTGGGGCTGACTCAGCAGCTAATAACAATTAAGGGGAGCAGATACTCTGTTTCCTCACCTAACTTGGGCTTCAGTTCACCTCTACCAAACTTGCTTGAATAGAAAATCACTTGGCATTTATTCAAAATACAGATGCCCAGGCCCCTCCCTAGAGATTCCAATTCATTATTCTCTGGTATGGCACCCCAGAAGATTTTTATGATCGGGCAAGTTGAAGAGATACAGTTTTATGCTGTATTTGTTCTACTATATTCTGATAATCTTTTTCTAATCCACCAACATTACACTGTCAGCTTCCATGTGTGGACTTGCCCATCATTGTTCTATGAGCAATGACCATATAGCTAACTAGGCCTTTTGGGCTCTTTGATGATTTTTTTTTTCAATATGCCACTCATTCAGGACTTCTCATGGGGTTGTGAGCCCTTTGATCTTTGCCCTTATGTAAGTCTGATTTTACCAGAGAGTACTTTCTTCAGCTAATCAGTTTCTTTAGCTATCCCCAGCCCTGTTTATCGCCCATCAAGATTATATGCAGATATCAAGTTGGAATTTCACTTTGAGGACCCACTTAGCTAATCTGTGCCTAGCATCCTCATCAGAGTTTTCTAGGCAGTGGAAGCATACCCAGCTTTTTTGTTTTACCTTCTTGAAAGAGCTCAGTCCTTTATGCAGGAACAGCAGCATTCTCCTCCCTATCACAGGCTCTGCAGCAGCATGGTCACATGGTCGCAAGCATCCTCACGACTTCATTTCAGCTATTTGAATTGGATTAGAAAGGGCTTTAGGGACTTGAAGGTTTTCTTATCCTATGAGTAACTGTGCTGTTGTTTGCAGGTAAAGATAACAAGGTCTCTCTTGTTTTTCCAGATGGAAGACCAGATGATTTCTTCTGACTCTGTTTCGTCTTCTGCTAGTAGTTTCTGGAGCTCAAGCCCAATCCTTTGCGGCAAGCAAAATGTACAGATGTTAAACAAGGGTGTCCAAGCAGGTAAGTGACTTGAGTTTAAACTTCCCCACTGAAATACAAAAATAAGTTCTTAAACATATAAGAAGATACTCAATCTCACTCATAATAAAGGACATGAAAACTAAAATTGTACCCAAATGCCATTTTCACCTATCAGATCGGCAAAAATCCAAGTTTCCTAGCAGATGTGTGGGCAAGAGTATAGGGAAGTGGGCACTCTCATACATTATTATAAACTCATAAATGGTACAACCCCTCAGTTTGGCAATATCTCTTAATTACTTTGACCCAGCATTTTCACTTTTTTAATTTAGTTTGTAGATATACTGTGCATATATGGAATTTAGCCTATAGTTGTATATGTGAGTCTTTGTAAAATGACAGTTACACAGAGTTAATCATTGCAGTATTGTTTGTCATACCAGAAGATTGAAATCAACTTACATGTCCATCAGTCATTGAACGGTTAAGTACATCATTGTACAACGATGTAAGGAAATCCTACATAGCATGAAGAAGCTCTCTCTGTACTAATATGGAAAGATTCCCATGATATATAATTAAGAAGAGAAAGGCAAGAGACAAAACAGTGTACAACATGCTACTACGTGTATTTAAAAAATAGGAAGGAAGAGAATTGCTTGAATACATAGAAAAAATTATCTGGAATCATATGGGGTTGTGAACTGAGTGAACGGAGAACAAGATTGGAAAGGGGACTTTTCACTTTATGCCTTTCTATACCTTTTGGTTTTATAAAACAAAAATAAATAAATAAACTTCACCCTTGATTTTTTTCCCCCTCAAGTCTTATCTTTGTGTCTTTCAACCTATCCCTTACCTGGGTGACTGCCAGTAGGACCGTAAGTATTAACTGCCTTTCTCATTTGGGGGTGCAAACTTTTAAAGTCTCTGTACCCATTGAATCTATTGTAGAGAAAAACTTGGAACACTGTTTCCAGTTAAAACAGAGAGGTTTATTAAGAGTTTAAAACAGTTGCAGTTGAGGAACTATGTAACCTATTGAAAATGGAGCCATGTAGTCCTGGGGCAGTTTCGTTACACAAGTGTTCTTATGGGGTAAAAAGAGGAACCAACCCATAGGGAGGGCAGTTACAGGAAAATCAATGAATATTGTAATAATCACACTCTGATTGGTTACTGATTATTAGTAGTAAAATTAGCGGTTACAGACCGTTTCGCAGGATGCGTAGATCGTGGTCACGAGATGCTTATGTGTAGTTTCTTTGTCTTGCAAAAAGAAAAAAATACCTTGCTGGCAACAGCACTCTTCCAGAGTATGGGTATTTTGAGGGGTGCAGATGGTCACTTGGTTAAGACCCCTCAGGGCATATGGTTTCACACCCTGGTTTTGACCACTGAGGGAAAGCATGTTTTTCTCAAAAAACTTAGCTGTTAGTCTAGAATCCAGATTAAAATTAGATAGCATGGTCAGCATATTATGCCTCTGTCTCACTGACCGCACTGAAAGTTGTCTTTCCTGACACAAATCTGTATTAGTTCTGTCCGTCTAATAGCTAAGCTGACTTAGAAATAAAAACTGTATGGTGGTCTGCTTCCTTCTCACCTCATCTACTTTGCTGAGTACCTTTTGTGTGGTTGCTGACTACCTATTATTTGTTGATAAGTCAAGTTTTGGAAGAGGTTAGAGGCATGGACATGCCTTTTGCTACTGGACATGTGATACTAATAAGAAGTGTGTCCTAGCTCAGTCAGCCTAAGACCACGAAGGACAAACCTGTAGTCTGACAAAGTCAAGTTTATTGATTCGTTGCAATAAGGGAGACCACACACCAGAGGATCTGGGATGTCTTGCTAAACAAAGGAAAAGATAGAGTCAGTATAGGATCTTGGAGAAGGGTGGAACTGGGTGAAATTTAAATGAAGCAGTGCTTTGATAGGCTCAGAGCAAAGTAAAGTCAACATCAGGTCTGAACTGTGTAGTAGACCCATGGTCCTGTTTCTTCGGAATCAATAAAGTTAAGATAAATGTGGAATGTTGCATCTAAACCAAAACCAAAACCCGTTGCCGTCAAGTCAATTCCGACTCATAGCTACCCTATAGTACAGAGTAGAATTGCCTTATAGAGTTTCCAAGGCGCAGCTGGTAGATTCAAACCACTGACCTTTTGGTTAGCAGCTGAGCTCTTAACCACTGCACCACCAGGGTTCCATGTTGCATCTAGAAGCCCCTTATCTGAGCTCTGAACAGGGTTGTAAATGGAGGCTACTTCTCTGTCTTAAAGTGGCTTAGGTCCTCAATGAAAGAGTAGGATGTTACATTCTTATTGATACAATTTCAAATAGCAAAGTTTCTGATAGTGTATTATTTTAGAGAACAGTGTTTCTCAGTGAGTAAGGAAACAGTAGTCACTCAAGAAGGGGGCTGTTACGACATTTTACAGTTGCAGTCTGCTGTGGGAGAAATATTGTTTCCTATTAACTTTGTAGCTGGCTTTATCTGTGCCTTCCTCCCAGCCTGATGCATGGCAAGGGCGATTTTTACAGTCCAAGCTGGTTTTCACCTTCTCAGGTATTAGGAATATTGGATTGAAATGAGATATTCTGCTGCAGGTGTGCTTCCTGCCAGGTGATGATGGTGCAGGATTTGTGCAGGAAGCTACCAGGCAACGCCTGGATTTATCCTTCTAGTTCATTGATTTCCATTTTGTATACAATGCTATGCTCTCACGTCTCAGAAGAGAGAACTAGCAATTTGCCAAATTGCCATTTGTTACTAACCACTAAAAAACGCTTTTTTATTTACAAAAAAAAAAAAAAAAAAAAAAAAACCACTTAAGGTAGTTCTCCCTCTTTGGGTCAACATGTAAAATGTTTATTGTTTTGCTTTAAAAAAAAAAAAATTATCCCATTGGTGTTCCTATGCTGATTAATCTGATAGATAGCCTGCAAATCTCAGAACAACTGCTCAACTCATACTGGGAAAATACATGGGTCACTTTCTATGTGATTATCAGACTAGTGGTTCAGAACCTTGGCTGTACATGAGAATCGCCTGGGTTCTTTAAAGCAAATTTTTAAAAAACATCTGAACCACACCCCAAACTAATTAAATCAGAATCTGTACAGGTGGGAGCTGGACATCAGTATTTTTCAAAAACTCTCCATGTGATGGTAAGGTGCAGCCAGTATTGAGAATCACCAATACACTGTTGCCCTCCTTCCCTTCTCTATCACTCTCTCCCCCTCTCTCCAAACCCAAACACACACACACACACACACACACACACAGAGGCAGTAACCTATATTTCTGAAGCATTAAAAAGGTTTCAGTCACATACTGACTGTAATAAACTTGCCAGCTAAGCCTCGAGGCTGTTCCCAGAGACTTATGTGATCTTTCCCTTCAGGTAACTTGGAGATTGTGAATGGTGCCAGAAAACACACCCGAGATGTTGGGGTGACTTTTCCAACTCCAAGTTCGAGCGAAGCTAGATTAGAAGAGGACAGTGATGTGAGTTCTTCTCTGTCAGAAGAAAAACATGAAGAGAAAAGGTTCCTTGCCAGTTATCCCTTGGATAAAAAGTTAAGGAAGAACAAGCCAAATTGCTGTGAAGGTCAGTTTCTAATTCAGGTTTTGTCACAGAAAAACTAGTGAATTTCAAGTTTCTTAATATGCTAAGATTCTTTGTTTCTAAATGATTCTATGTAGACCCCACCACAGCCAGCACCTTGGCAAATTCTCAGAGTATCTAGCAGTGCAGTTACAGAGTCACACCTGCAGTCAAGGGCGTCCTGGTGACCTCTGGCTGCTGACTCCCCTGAGAGCTTGTATTATATACATGCCCCTGATAGCTCTGTGGCCAATGGAAAATGAAAAATCTTTTTTTTTCCTTTCTTAAAAATCTTTCCTATAGGAATTTCGTGGTTTGTTCCTGTCGAAAATTTGAAGTCTGGACCTAAGAAGGAAAATCTGCTCAAATCTTACGGCCCTGGCATCTCCTGGTTTGAACCAATAACAAATGCCAAACCCTGGAGGGAGCCACTGCGGGAAAAGAACTGGCAAGCACAGCGGATGGACTGTCGAGGGTGCCTAGCAGACCCTTGCAGAGGTGAATGCGTGCACCCGCTGAAGCCATTTGTGAGAGCAAGCCTACAGGTACAGTGACATTTTCATTCTAGCCATATGTTTAAGGGGAGGAAAGGGCAAGATGCAAAGAAGCTAAATCTGTGACTTTGCATTCTGAAGGCCAATCATGTGACCCTCATTTCTAGCTCCTCTGCAGTTCATCTGTTTTCACCACATAAGAGCTTAATTTCTCATCATTAATCAAGACTGCCTTACTATTAACCATTGTAAAGAGTACATCAACCCCAATATCAGGGACAAGGCGGTAAAGGGGAGGGTGTTGTGACGCTGCTCGTCAAATCCGTAGATACCCTCACACAGAGTGCTCTGCAGGCCTTATGTTTGTGTTAGCTTTGTATTTGCTTCTCTATTTACATAACTCCTATTCCTGCTTAAACACTGGGTTAAAAGGCACCAGGTCCCTCATGGTTAGGGGTATTTCTTAGACATAATCAAACACCTTGTGAAATTGTTTTTTTGGGTTTTAAGGCTTAGGACGATAGTCTCATGGAGCAACTCAGTTCATTGGCATAATATAATTCATAAAACCTATGTTCTACATCCCAATGTGGTAAGTAATGTCTGGGGTCTTAAAAGCTTGCGAGCAGCCATCTAAGATACAAATATTGGTCTCTACTCGTCCAGAACAAAAGAGAAAGAAGGAAACCAAAGACTCAGAGAAGAAAGTAGTCTACCAGACTAATAGTCCATACAAACCATGGCCTCATCTACCCTGAAGCCAGAAGAACTAGATGGTACCTGGCTACCACTACCAGCTGTTCCAATAAGGGCCACAATAGATGGATCCTGATAGAACGGGAGAAAAATGTAGAACCGAACTCAAATTCTTAAAAAGTCCAGACATACTGGACTGGTTGAGACAAGAGGAATCCCCAAGGCTATCTCCCTGAGGTACTCTTTAAACCTTAAACCGAAATTGTCCTTGAGGTCATCTTTTAGCTAAACAACAGATTGGCTCAAAAAATAAAGAATATTACCTGTGAGTAATGCACTCCTTTCAAAAATCATCTATAGGAGAACAAATGGTCAAAAATGACTCAAAAGCAAAAATGAGAAGAAACTAGAGTACTGGAAATGGTATAGTCAGAACGGAATAAATGAGAATGATGATACATTGTGAAAAATGTAACCAATATCACTGAATAATTTGTGTAGAAATTGTTAAATGGGAACCTAGTTTACTGTGTAAACTTTGACATTAAATACAATAAAATATTATTTTTTTAAAAAAAGAGCAACAAGTCCCCTGTTTAGATGCCTCTTCGGGGCTAAAGAAAATGTTGTTTAATGAGGTTTTTGTTGAAAGGAAATTTAAGATAGCACAATGGGCTGAGCTCTGTCCCATCCACATTTGGGAGAGTTGTAATTGCCGTGATCTTAGTTCTTGCCCTATTCCAAAGGCATGTCTTTGATGCCTTTGATTTCTCTGCTGAAGCTCTTCCCACAAAGAGTTGTTAGCATTTTCTTTAGCTCTAGATATTTAGAAACAGGCTTTCCAACCTGTTGGGCACGGGTGCTGTTTTTCCAGGCACTTGGAGAACATTAGTGTAAGATTGGGGCTTTTTCTCCTCCTTAGGAATCACTTCAGTTTCACAGACCTGACTTCATCTCTCGTTCTGGGGAGCGGATAAAGCGCCTGAAGTTAATAGTCCAGGAGAGGAAGCTGCAGAATGTGTTGCAGAGTGAGCGGGATGCGCTGTTCAACACCGGGAGAGACTGTCAGGGCTGCCAGGATCGCATGTGCCCACCACCCAGGCCAGGTACACCCTACTGCTCACTTTCCTATGACTGGAGTAGAGAAGGCAAGATCTGCTCCTGTGCTATGCAGCACTGCTAAGTAGCCACTTTAAGGACACAGAAGGTGACTTTTGCTTGCTGAAACTCAAATCTCCTTAGGCAGCGGAGCCTGCCCAGCTTAGCTCTCAGCGCTTTTGAGATCAGAGTAAGCCCTGTCACACATCCTAAAAACAGGAAGGTGCAGTGAGAAGGGCTTTTTTATAGACCCCCTCTGTGTCTGTAAGCAAGTCGGTTCCAAAAGTGTAATTTTTTTTCTGTAAAGATGGGGTCAATTCTCAGCTTGTCTACCTTACAGGGTGGCATAGATGATGACAGCAAGCACTGGTGTAGCTCTTAGGTCTCGCCCAAACACTGTTCTCATTTAATACTCACAACACCTCTCCAAGGTGGGTACTATTAATATCCCTGATTTACAGATGAGAAAACTGAGACAGCGAGATTAAGCACCTCCCCCAGGATTACATTCCTAATAAGTGAAAGATCTGGGATTTGAACCTAGATGGGCTGGCTTCTGAGTCTGTGCCCTTAACACTCTGTATAAGATCTCAATAAAATAATATGTGAAAACTATGAAGTACTACCTAATGCTTACATGGCAACATTACCTGTATACTGATTGGTTTTGCAGTTCAGTCTGGTCTATTCCACAGAGCATTGTGGCTTCAGGGGCCTTAGGCTGCTGTCACAGACACCATAGTCTGTCTGTTCTGGCCTTGGCCATTGCTCACCACCCAGTACTGCCAGCTCAGGGTTGAGGCACAAAGTCCTAGCAGCTCCCTCTCACAGCTCTGCAGCATAAAACCCTTCCTTATTAAGTTACTACCCACTTAAAATCTCTTCTTCCCTTGCCCAGGCTTCCTGGCTGCCCAGAAGAGCAGAACTATTGGAAAGAAGGAAATGATTCAGAGGTCTAAACGGTAAGGCCAAAAGAACAAGAGTAATTATAAAAGTATAAATCAGGCCACCAAATGGTCAGGGGCTCTGGTTTGCCCCATCAGTGCCCAGAATAAAGGCATTTTGCTCAAGTTAAAACATGAGAGAATTAGTTGTGAAAGTAGTTTCACATTATGGCACTAAAAAGGAAAAGAAAAACAGATAGCAAATCATGGTATAAATGACTCATGTGAAAAAATCACCACTAGTTTGTATGCATTAGGCAGCTTCATCTTAATTAGAAATTTAATTTAAAATAAAATTAAATATTTACTTGGGGCCATCCCCTTTGTCTTAGCAACCCCATTTCTAGGAATTTATCCAATACAGTAAGAAATAAAAACACATTAAGTTAAGCTTTACCAAAAAATCAAGTTTCAGAAATGCGTGTATACTGCTGCCATTCATTTGTGCTCTCTAAAAAAAAAGGGTGGCAGGGGAAGGCATGTGTGTTTGAGCATGTGTATGTATACATATGTGTAAAATATCTCTGGAAAGATACAAAAAAAAAACAAAAAAACAAAACCTGATAATAGTGGTTGCCTTTGGGAAAAAGTGGCTGGAGTACAGAAGTAGGAGAAAGACTTAATTTTTGACAATTGTATGCTGTTGGAATTTTCTGCCGTTGCATGCATTCACTGCGTATTGTTTAATTAGTGAACCAGTTAATTAGTTAGAAGTATGCCTATATTGATCACGAGAATGCCATGGAATAACTAATATAAAGAGTTACCTTTTAGGAGTTCATTGAAGACTTGCTTTAATAAGAACAGCTTTATAATCACCATAGTGCTTCTGAAGTAAAGTTCCTTGAAAACAATTTATCTTAAGTAATTTAAGTATCCCTCTTGAAATCTTGTTTTTATTCTCCATTTAGTAAACCCTTTCCTTATAGGTAATTCAAAGGGATGCTTTAATCCAGGGGTTCTCAAAGTGTGGCCCATGGACCTCTGGAGGTCGCTGAGACCCTTTCAGGGGATATGGAAGGTCAAAACTAATTTCAAAATAATACTAGGACGTTATTTGGCTTTTTCCTGTGTTGACATTTGCACTGATGATACAAGAGCAGTGGGGAGGGAGAGGACAGGGTTGCTGCTGGTGCCTTAGACAGTGGCACCAAACTGTACTCGTCTAGTAGGCATTGTATTCTTCTCAGCCCTGTACTAGCAGTTTAAAAAAAAAAACCTAAGAAAATCCTTGATGAAGCAAATTAACTTTATTGAATCTCAACCCTTGAGTATGTGTCTGTTGTAGATGGGGTTGCTATGAGTCTGAACCAACTTGATGGTACCTAACAACAACAAATACATATACAGAAGCAGGTACAAGAATCCAGCTGTCTTCTATTAAACCAGACATTAAAGAGATTTGTAAAAATGTAAAACAATACCACTCTTCTTACTAATTTTTTTTTTTGTTTTGGAAAATGTACTTATTTTTCATAACAATAGGCTGATGTTGGCTTATTATTATTATTTTTAAATGAATTAAGAAATAGATTTTTTTTTTAGTTTTAATTTCTAATATGGTAAATACCAATAGATAAAATTCGCATTTGGGTCCTCAATTTTGGGGAGTGTAAAGGAGTCCTGCGTCCAGAAAATTTGAGAACCACTGCTTTATCCTAACCTTGTTAGAAAATGTAGTTGTATGACAGCTAATTACACTGTCTCCTCTACAAGAGGATTTCTGGCTGGAAGGGACTGTGAAGCTTGCCAGCAGGAAGACAGGCAGAGACATTCTATAACATGTAAATGCTTTAAAGTATAAATATACTTTTTGGGAGTTCCCTGGGTAATGCAAACAGTTTGCGCTCTCTACTAACCTACAGTTTGGCAGTTTGAACCAACCCAGTGGCACCATGGAAGAAAAGCCTGACAGTAAGCTTCCATAAAGATTACGGCCAAGACTTTGTGGAGCAGTTCTACTCTGTAATATATGGGGTCACCATGAGTCGGAATCAACTCAACAGCAGCGGGTTTGGGTTTGGTTATACTTATAGGAATGGATTAAGTATCTGTCTTCTGGGGAAGGACTTGGGTTTTAAGGTGATAACATTTTCATTAGAGTGCCTTTATTCAGTTTTATTTCTGGCATACTTCCTCTTCAAGGGAACAATTCCTTTCCATCTGAGACTCAGCTAAAGTTGAATGGGATCTTAGAGATCATCTAGTCTACCCCTAATTTTTAGGACACTGCAGCCCAGAGAGGGGGAGTCACCCAGCAAGTTGGGGCCAGAGCAGGGCAAGAAGCCGGTCCTTGGGCTCCCCATCCAGGACTCCTGCGAGTATACCTCAGAGAGGATTTGTGTCACTGAAGCTCCTTGTTACTCATCATCTTTTTGCATCACCTACCTCTGCCAAAGATATTTATAGGTGAAAAGAAAGGATTGGAAAAAGAGAGAACTGCCTTTTTTATCTGGAAATATTTTTTCTAGTGTGTTCTTCAAGAAAAGTTACTTCATTAACTTACTAATACATACATTTGAGTATGTTCCAGACACTAAGTACAGGGATGACAGGTGATTGACTCCAGACCACAAGCAGACGGTTAATTGCAGTAATATGGAATAGTTGCTTTCAAGGAGTCATTTCCAAAATGTAATTTCTGGCTACTCAGGTTAGCCTGATTCCCAGCTTTCCAGCCCTAGAATACAACCTTTCCTTGTCCAAGCAGATTTTCTCTTCACATTACATGTTCTCCATGAAGTGGCTCTTCTTTCCCCATGGACTCTCTTACCCTATTTCCAACAGTGACTTAAAAGTATATGTTTGTTCCTCTTTGGTCTCTCTTCCTGGCCTCCACTTCTGTGTTTTTAACTAGTAATCATCTCCAGTGTGTCTACAATGGAACTACCCATTCTCCACTCCCACATTTTCTTGGGCACCCACTCACTCAGCTAGAAAGTTGGGGAGCTGTCCCCTCCACCCATGTCTTATCCATCACTGTGCAGGCAGCCAGCTAGAAGTCGTAGAGATCCGCCTTCTTAATTCCTCTGGAACCCAGTCTCCTCACTGCCTTAGTGTGGCTTGCCTGTCGGCCACTCCCAGAGGACCGCTGTTCTGCCTGCTTCCCATCTCTACCTTCTCTGATCTGTTTCCCACAGAGCCTCTGCATCATTTCCAATGATTTGTTTTCAGATTATTGAACACTTTGGAAAATATAGAGAAAAGGAGAAAAGAAAATAAGCAGTCCTTCCATCTAAATGTAACTAGCACTAGTCCTGTTTCTGGAAAGAGTGGGAGTGTTGCAGAGACTTGAATTAACACACTTTTTTTTTTCCAACTTGTGGATTGCACTGTATACACACACATTGTATCCTGCTTTATTTTACTCAACATTTTATTGAGAACATTTTCCCATATCATTAAAAGTTCTTTGAATACATTGTTTGTGTGCTCTGTAATTTTATTATGTAGATGTTCCATAGTCTAACTGTTCTTTTGTTGGAAATTTAGATTATTTCCAATTAGAGTGTATTTATAAAAAGCACATTTGATCATGTCCCTCCTGACTTAAAATCATGGCACTCAACCCCTGATAGGACAGGCCCAGGTCTTTAATAAGGCTCCGAGACCACCCTGCCCTTGCCCCTCTCCTTCCCACCTGTTTCCCTACATGCCTGTCTGTGAAGCCTTGACTCCATTCTTACCAGTACTCACTTTTCCCTTGCTTGGGTGCCCTTTCTTCCTTCTCTTCCTGTTCCCTCTCTGCTCCAAATACTCTTCAGGACCCAGCTCAAGCCTTGTCTCCTCAGTGAAGTCACCCCTGACTCCTCCCCAGTCAGAATCAGTTGCTTCGTCTCCTGTAACTCTGTGCAGCATCTTGTCCAGATGACCATTATTGTACTTTTTCCCCATTATATTATCTTGTGTTTAAATATATAATAGTAATACATGTTCATTATCTGTATTGAGACAATACATTTTTGTATATAGAATGAAAAGCAGTTCACCTCTGCCCCCTTTATTCCACTCCTTTCCCAGCGGTAACCACTGTTAGCAGGATTTTACTATGTTTTCATTTATCTGTCTCCCCTTCTAGAGCGTGAGCACCCTGGGCCAGAGATCTTTGTACCCCAGTGTCTAACACGAAACTGGGCCCACAACATGGGTCTAGGCTTGTCTGTTGAGTGGTAGAGTTGGCAAGGTGTGACAAAAAGACATCTTTATCAATAGTGCCGTGCTCTGAACCCCATAGCCTCACGCTTTCTGTCTTTCCCCTGGTGCGATTTCTTAGGATGTATGAGCAACTTCCAGAAGTTCAGAAAAGGAAAGAAGAAGAGAAGAGGAGATCAGAATATAAGTCATACCGGCTGCGAGCCCAGCTATATAAAAAGGTCAGTTGATCCTCCATCTAGACTGTGCTTTATCAGGTTTCCCAGCTGAAAGAGAAATGGAGAGAAATGTATCTGACCTGTCTGAGCACTCATTCAGAATTGAATGAGTTTCTGGAGTGAACTTAAGCTTGTAATGCTTTTTACCTCTGCTGAAATTTAGAAGATAATGGCACCTGTGATCAGATTTCAAATCAGGTTTAACCCCGCTGCCTTAAGAGCTATGCTTTTTCTCAGACCCCTCAGCCTTATTTGTATAAGGCTCCTTCCATGCATACATTTGGAATGAAAACAACCTTCACACTTAGATGTCATGGTGGAAATGTCCAAGTCTACCAAAATTGTAGGATTTTCATTCTAGACTCCCAACTGGTGGTTTTATGCCCCTTTTGGGTAGGTCATCATATATCTCTAGAACTTTCAGAGTAAACTGGAAAATGTCTGAGTGTGGCATAAGAGTTGGCAGTTTGGAGGGTCAGAGGCCTGCTCATGGCCACAGTGAAGTCAGTGGTGCCGCAAGTTCTAGAACCTCACGGGCCCTGGATGTTGCTGCCAGTTCACCGAGACACCAGACTGCCTGCTTTGCCAGCAGGGCCATATCCTTCCAAATCAGCAATATTCTTGTGTTCTTCCTAACTCTCTCACTGTACCCTGGAAGACTCTGAAAGTCAGAAACTGAAAGACCAGTTGGTACCAGACTGGTGTGAGATTGGAGAACCAGCTTCTGGAGGCCGGGCTTCCCCAGGTGGGGAGCGCCAGGCATTGCACGGCCCATCTGGTGTGTCAGCATCACAAGACCAGCATCTTGTTGGCTTGTGTAGTTGCGAACCGATGGACTGACTAACCTGTCGGTTATAGATTATCTATGTTTGTAGAAGTAATAGATATTGATTATCAGTCATCTTTCCTAAACATTTCTGGAAGTATTTTTTGTATAATTGCCATAATTTCTGTAGCTGAGGAAGATAAACAGGATTTAGATAGAGATATGCTGGTTTCTTCAGCGACATGTTTTGTGGGGATGTGGCTGTCTGCCTCTGATGAAAGAGTATCTAACTTCCTTCCTTCCTTTTCCTCCACAGAAAGTGACCAATGAACTCTTGGGGAGAAAAGTTCCCTGGGACTGACATAAGATTATTTTCCTCAGACCCCTGGAAGTATATATTATAAACCTGGAGAATCACAAGCCTTACTTTTATGACTCTGCATTTAATAAAACTTATGTCCATGTGTAATTTAGAAATAACGTTCTAAAGAGTCTGGGGCAGAGCCCTGATTAAAGTCATTCATGGTTTGGAAGCAGTGCTTTCTCCACAGTGGCCTTGCCCACCCAACTGTTTTGTTACAATGATTACCTCTTAATTCTAGCTTAGAGTGAGTCCATTTTTGTACGTGTTTTAATACTTTTAGAAAATAAATAACTTTTGATTGATTCATAGTGAAGCAAGCACAGAGGGTCATTTCTTTCCCATCTGAGATGTGCAGGGAGCTGGGCAGTGTCTCCCCTGAGGTGTGGGAGCAGCCATCTAAAGCATCAGTCAAGGAAAATGGGCTGTTGGAAATGTGGCATGTTTCTTTGGAAACAAAGCATGACATGGTGAGAGCCCTGTGGTGTGCTTTGTGGAGAGAGCATCTGATGCAGGCGCCCATCGAGTGCACCCCAAGACTCTGGCAGACATGGGCTTCTTGGGTCCAGTGAGCCTCCATTCAGCCTCAGTCCAGGGCTGGCCTTGTGGCCTTAAGAAGAAAGGCAGCCACCTTCTTAAGTGGGTTTTCCTCCACCCACCCTCTGGTTGTTTTCAAGAATGAAGGCTCAGACCATTTATTGTCATACATGGAACCAGTGTTTATAACATGGAGAACAACTTTTGAAAAGCATGAATTAGTGCAAATAAGCACTTAATTCAGTGCCTGGATCAGAGTATAACAGGATTTTTTCCCTATGGCCTAGAATTACAGCTAAGGCCCACAGTAGAGGGGGGAAGGTTACTAAGCACCCCTCATTCTGACTTCAGAGAACCACCAGCAGAGCAGTAGGGCCAGTTGCTTCCCCAGAGGCCTTCCTGAGAAGCCCAAATCAAAGAGCAGACCCTGCTGCCAAGCATAGGTCAGAGCTTTAAAACCAGGCTGCCCAGGCCCTCTTCGCTCATGGGAGGCCAGGAAGGAGAATCAGAAGAAAGAGGTCTACAAGTAGTTCTTCCCTTTCTTGCTGGGCAGGGTAGTTCACCACTCTGGGCCAGTTTACCTGTTAAATGAGAGGATGAATACCTCCAAGTTCCCTTTCAGCTCTAAAAAGCTGTGACTATGTACATGTGTTGTGGGAAGTTAATATTTAGAATAGAAACAAAGTAATAGATGTCTCTAAGCCTGGATCTGCAAGGAAGCCAGGACAGGAGGAAGGGTGACTAGGAATGAAGAGCTCGGTTCTCTTTAGGCCCAGGACTGAGTCATCCAGACATCTCCCAGAACCTTTAGATGCAGGCTTGGGAAGGTTGCTGCTCTCAGCCCTAGCCAGAACACACCTGTGAATTCTACAGATGCATGGGGAGACCCTGTTAGCATCTCCAGGAGGTTCATTTAAACAGGAAACTTACAAACTTGCTTTCACATGATACCAGGATTGCCCCCAGGCTGCCAGGCAAGGACACAGCATGAAGGATAGGTGCCTGCAGGGTCTCAAGACTGCGGTCATCCTGCCTCTCCCTTTGGTGTGTAGAGACTCTGGTGGCACACCGCCTGGAGAATCCATGCATCTCTTGACAAGGGACTTGCCTCACAGATAATCCCAGTGCTTCTCCCAGCATCTGTTCTGCCCCCAGGCTCAGGAGGATTCCCCTACTCTGAGCACCTGGCAGAAGGTAAGGAGTCACCATGCTCATGCCACCATCTGGCTGCTTGCCCCACCCTCCACCAGCCACACACCACCCACCCACACCACACCAGCACCTTTCTCTGAAAGTGCTCTTTCTCCATCCCTGGCAGGATCTTGAGCCTCTTGGTTTGCTGTTTTATTTTGTTCTTGCACAGGTGCAAGAAAGGTTTTGGGCTATTGTGAGGGTTCACTCTTAAATTGCTTCTTCCTAGATCTAGTTCATACCTGACCTGAGAACCCACTGCCCTCTTTTCTCCTGAAGGTTAGGCTCTAGCCTCCTCAACCACTCCTCTTCCTTGAAGGCAGCTTCTGTTTCTGCCCACCCCCCAGCAAAGACCCCTGTTGTCCATCAGCACATTCAATTTGGGGAGAAGGAGTATATGAAGAAGGCATAGTGTTTTAACTATAAATCACAGTGCATTTACAACAATTGGTCTCTGTTCACCTGGAGCAACAGAGGAAGAAGGAGACCCAGGGATAGGAGGAGGATTTGCAATGTGTGGCTAATTGCCTCCATGAACAACTGCCTCCGTTGCCATGAGACCAGAAGAACTGGATGGTGCCCATTACTGAACATTTCGATCGAAGATTCCTTAGAAGAAAACCTGATCAAAAGGGTGAAAATGCAGAACAGAATTTCAGATCTCATGGACTCTATCTAGACTTTCTTAAGCCATAGAGGATGATGGATGAACCCCTGAAACTATTGCCCTGAGATAATCTTTAAACCGTAAACCAAAAATATCCCCTGAAGTCATCTTAAAACCAAATAAGGTCTGCCTTGAGCATTATGCTATTTTAAGAACTGTCTGTAGGGGATCAGATGGACAAGAGCAACTCGAAAGATTAGATAGGAACCTTAGGGGGCAGTGAGTTCGTGTTAATGAGAGAGGAACAACCCAGAAAAGGAGAGTGAGAATGGTTGCACAACTGGAAAAATGTAATCAATGTCACTAAACTGACATGTAGGAACTGTTGAATTGGTGTATATTTTGCTGTGTATATCTCAACAACAACCACAAAATAAATATAATTGGAGGGGGGGAGTGTAAGAAGAGGGCAAGGAGAAAAATCACAATGTATTTTGTGTCCCAAAATGATTGTCCTGACTAGTTGTTAGAAAGTTAGGCCAAGCTGAACTATTGGCATAGTCTACATCTTTACTTTGATAGCTGGGTGATTTTAACCTGCAATGTTAAAGTTTTATTTTTACTGGCTGTGAACGCTCAGTTATAGCCCTTCCTGGTTTCTCACTAAATACTTGGGAAAACAAGGAAAAAAATTGAATAGTATTATCAAAAATCGAAATAAACATTGTTGGTCTCTAGGGGGCACTCTTGGCTCTTCTCCACAATCCTTGCCCCTTGTAACCCCCTAAGATGAAGATCCTGATCTAAGGCAACTCCCCACCACCACCCCAAGGCAGGGCAGGATGGAGAGGGTACTCATGTTCCAGGACTGACTGGGCCACATTTTGTGGGGGTTACAAGGTACAGAGATAAATTTCATGGTCTGAGCAGCCCTAGTCCCATCGACTCCTGCCTGTTAGGAGAAAGCACACAGTAGCCCAAGCCCCAAGCCATCTTGTCCTGAGGCACTGGGAGAAATTCTCTTGAGAGTGTGTGTGTGTGTCTTGTTCACTTTGTTTCACCAGGGCCCAGCACAGGTTGTGTGTGTGTGTGTGTCTTATTCACTTTGTTTCACCAGGGCCCA